GGGGGGGCCGGCGGGGGCTGGGCCGGCCGCCCCCTGGCCCGGGGCTGTCCCGTGTCGTGTCTGGCCCGTGCTAGAAGTCGCCGTGGGGCCGCAGTTCCCTTCGGGGGGGTGTAGTGCCCCATGCTGGGTCTGTGGTGGAGCTGTAGGTAGGAGGAAAAGCGGTTGTGTTGAGGCTGGTCCCCGCAGCCTTTGTGGAGCTGCAGCACTGTCTGTCTCTTCCAGATGGCAAACGTGGCCTTCATGCGGGGACAGCTGGACAATGTGAGTAACTCTGGTTTTTTTCCCTCTGAATTTTAAGAGGCTGACATCTTGCGCAAGGTCTTGTCACGTCCAAGATCGTGAAGGTGTGGCGTGCAGTGACAGGCTGCGTACTGAGAGTTGTGAGGCAGAAATCTTGCAGTCCAAAGCAGAATAACTTGCCTTGGGACTGCAGTCCCATGGAGCACATGCTGCTAAGAAAGATGCTTTCATAGTTAAATTTTGAGCTCCAACATGGTGTGCAAGGGAAGGAATACTTCTTACTGTCAAATGCCATAGTCAAGCATTTAGATGGCTGTCCCAAGGAGAATCTGGGAAAGCCCTGAAGGCACACAGATGTGGTAAAACTCATGGCTGGCGCAGGAGTCCTAAAGTAGAAACTGAAAGGACCCTGCTAGCTGGCAGTACCGTTGGGCTCTGGTTAGCCTTTCAAGTCTCACTGGTCTTGACATACAATGGAAATGCCGCAAATTGTGAGACAAGTTTCTCCCAGTAGTCTGCCTCTGTAAAGGGTGGGGGCCTCTTGTTTTTACTGCCATCATTCCTCAGTATTCTCTTCAAAATTCTCATTTCAGGCAGAAAAGCTCTACAAAGCAAGTATGAGCTATTTGCTTGCAGGGGACACAAAGGAGGTATGTTCTTCCAGCTGAAAGCCTTTATCGGAAGTATTAACAATTCTTTGGTCTATTTCTTGTGCTGTAATACCTCCTACTCAAAACTTGCAATACTAGCTATGAGCTTGCCAGCTTCTCAAGAACTTCCTTTGAGGGGATGGCAGCTCTGGAGACAACAGGATGGGCATTTTCAAGGTCTAAACTTGTTCTCTGGCAAAGTAATGTTTCTACTGGGGAGGTGCAAGAGGAGTAACAGTTGTGTTGTGTGTCCTCCTGGCAGGATGACAATGCAATCCTTGAGATGTCCCTCAAGCTGGCCAGTATCTATGCTGCTCAGAAACAGTGAGTTCCCTGCTAAAGGCATTTTTTGCTTTCGTCTCAGCTTCACAGTGGCAGTGGTGGCTGAGCAGGGGCTCTTTAAGAATAGAGTGCCTGAGGAAGCTTTGGTGTGACAAGATACCATCAACATAAAGGTTCCCACAGGCATGATATTTGCCTACCCGCTGTCACGCAGCACAGTGATTTGCTGACCTGCCCAGCTTTTAGGGCAGAATTAGTCATAGAGGACATCACTCTTTAGTCTTAAATCCACACCTCACAGGAGAGAAGGCTTTTGAAGCAACTTGTAGCTTCATCGTTCAATAAAGTGTCAGCATGGGTTGCTTTAGCTGGCCTTGTTTGGGGGGAGGGGGGGTCCCCTCTCCACATCTTTGATCCCTTTGCCTATGGGTCAAGAGAAGGGTCCAGGCCATAATCAAGAAAAGAGCACCGAGGGCAACAAGGTTCTGGTGAAGGAGAAAAGCTATCTTACAGGCCCTCTGCAATGAGGGATCGAAGGTGTTCACATCCGTCCCTTCAGGGGTGGAAGGAGCCTTGTTTTGCTGAGTTGTTGTACTTTGCAGGCACAAATTAGCCCTGGCTGGCTATGAGTTCTGCATCCTGACCTTAGAGGAGAAGATTACCAAGCAAAAGGACTTGCCTGAGGATGTCTTGCCAGGTGGGACTGCCTTGTCTGCCAAAGGCTTCTCTTATTATCTTTTCTCGATTTCCCTGTCTTTGATGTTGCTTTCCCTATTGCCTAAGCACCATTTTCATGTCAATCCATTGTCTTCACACTGCATTAGTTTCCTACTCTTGTAAGATGGAGACTCGTGCTTGATCTTGTAGAAGTGATCACTTCCACTCCTCTCTATTTGCAGCTGAAGAAAAGGCCAACACCCGTCTGTTGCTTGGGATGAGCCTAGACTCCTATGCTCGCTATCTCCTAAACATTAACCAGCTCCCAGTGGCCCAAAAAATGTATGAGAAGGCTCTGCAGATATCAAATGATGTTCAGGGAGAGACTCATCCACAGGTGACGTGTACAATGGTAGTTGGACTATAAAGGCTAATGTCCTAAGGAATGAGGCAGCCTTCAAAGCAGCTTCGCTGGCATCAAACGTACACAGCACTAAATTAGCTTCTGTTTTCCTGCCAGGAAGAATGAGCATGCAGCATGCTGATATATAAGACACTTTATTACTGAAAGCTTCTCTGGGGAATACTACTTTCACTAATGTGACTGGGGTATGAATGTGATGTTCCTGCTGCCCCAGACTTCTATACAAGTCTTGCTCTGAGGCTTCCTTTTCTGTCCTGGTGCAGACTGTGGTCCTGATGAATGACTTAGCAACTGTACTGGATGCTCAGGGGCACTATGATGAGGCATACTCCTATGTGAAGAGGGCAGCTGAGCTGGCAAAGGAGACTCAACACCCTGAGGAGCACATGGTGCTGAATAACCTGGCAGCAATTCTGATGCACAAAGGTAAGTAAATAAATGTCCAGCCCATGTCACTGTGCTTGTGCTGACTGCAGATGCCTGTACTGTAGGATTGAACTATAGTGTTACTTTTGTGTTACTATTTTTAGTTTAAGCAGTAGATCTGCTGACTTTGTGTAGGCAACTTGTATTGTGTTCAAATTGAATTCAGCTGCTGAAGGATGCTGTCCAAGATAAATGTGGTACTGGTGCATCTGACTCAAAAGGTTGCCACCAAATCTAGTTTCCCTTGTCCTGTATATATAGTAACTGGTTCTAAAAGGATGTAAGACATGCTTGAGACTTGTTTCGATGAGATCTTAATGCTGAAGCAGCACCTTGTCCTGTCTTCATTGCTGCTGTCTAGCTCTTTTAGTTGGCACCCTATGCTGGATGTTTTCTGAACCTCCCTAGTTCTTGAAGTGTTCCAAGTAGTCTTTTGCATGTCCTTTGCATGCGGTCAGCTTCAGGGGGGGACTCTGAAAATGGGTGTGTAGTTGGCTAGCCATGCTACTTTTTCCTCTTGCTACAGAAGACTTCCTGCAAGCAAAACAAGTGTACAAAGAAGCTCTCAAGCAGGCACAACAGAAGGGAGATGTTGCTTCTGTCCAGCACATCCAGGAAGAACTAGCTGAGCTGGCCAAGAGGAGAAAGGGCTCCAAATGAGTTTGGCCACAGAGTCCAACTTTGAGGTGGCCTACAGCAGCGAGGGTTGGTCAGTACAAGCAGCCTGGGACCAGTTTGGTGCAATTCTCCAGGGAAACAGCAATGAGGAGTTTAAGGACTGCTTAACAAGAAGGGCTGCTATTGCCTAACAACTTAGCCCAAAATAAAGTTGTGAAATCTTAACTACGTAAATTTGTGGTGTAGTCTATGGTTAGAGTTATGACCTACCGTGCTAGCGATTTAGCTTTGTCTTAACTGCCAGCAAAGTGCAAGTCTAGCATTAATACTTGCAGTTAAGTCAAGGAGTGTATTTGTGTCAGTGCTACAGTTCAGTATGTATTAGCTTCGACAGAGCATTTCCCAGACTATACCCATACTATGACAGAGCTGTAGGTCCATGTCCTTTTCAAACAGGTTGCCTGAAGATCAAGTGTTTTTCTTCAAAGCATTTAGGACCCAAAGATAGAACATGTCCTCTCAGAGGAGGGGTGAAACTATGTTACCAAAGCAGAGCTGGTGTCAAAAATAAAACACTTGGCTACCTTACCCCAGCCAAGAGCACACTAAGTACAAAAGCTGTCTTCCTTTCTTGGATAGGTCAGTGTTAGAATGCTGAGGCTTCCTGTTGGAAAAGATGGCACGTACATACCATCACATTTGCAAGGTACATGCCTTCATGTGAATCTAGTATGAACAGCCTGCTTATACAACAGAATTTTTCAGTTCTGCCCTGCAGTGAAGCTTAATGTTAAAGACAAAGGAGAATTAAACCAGAAGTTATGAAATCCATATTTAGCTAGGATAGTAGAACTAACTAACTCTGTCATTACCAAGCATTACTTTAACCTCTCATTTGTAAGAACTTCAGCTGTTTGGTATATCCCTTAATGTTAATTGCATCACTATTAGTTTACTTACAGTAGCATTAGTGGCTTCAACTCTGCTTAACTTTGAGCTAAGAAGAGGCATGCAGGTTTTCCAGAGTAGATGTTCATTGAAGCTGGAAAAACTCAAGTCACATATACAGCTTTGTTCTCAGCAAGCTAGGAAGTAAAAATAGGGCTGTTACAGGCACGCTTGTACTAACAGAAAGGCTCTAACACCTTAGAGCCAATCTTCTTTAAAGTTCAGTTTTTCTGTTTTTAAGTGGCAGACCTTAGACACTCCAGCGGTGTTAACTGGGAACCCTGCAGCACCCCCTAAGGGAAGTGTTTTGCCTGTTCTCATGAACATAGCTTGATGCTGCAAACAAGAGGGAGACACAGAAAAAGCAAATGGAGAACTGATCCCCTTTATTGATTGGTCTGAATCCAGAAGTCACTGTCTACTGAAGACATTGTGTGGAAAAAAAAGTTGAGTTTTATGATGCATGGGTTTTTTCAAGTCTTAAATGGTTTCATATCAGAATCACGAAACATATCAAGATGAAAGCATTGTGAAAGCGCTGATCAGAAATCAGTTAAAAATTTGTAGTAAACTACACTTTGTAAACATGATTTACAAACACCTTCCTGTTTGAAACAGGTCAGATGTAATTCCATACTTGAAGATTACTGGAATTGTGGTAAACCCTAACTTAGGCTCTGGAGAAGTTTTTCACACTGGAGAAGTTAGAACTCTGATAACAAACAAAAAAGCAGCAATATTTTATGTGCAAATGCCACTCAAGCTGTATCTTAGGAGAAAGTGACTATCCTACTTTGGATATCTTGCTGCTGCAGCAGCAATAACATGAAGCTTTGCAATGAACATGCTATACTTACTGTACAGTTAGCAAAGAAAGACATTTGTCTGTACATGTCTCTCTCACATTGTATTTGTTACACTAAGAACGTGAGAACAAGTGAGTTTTAGAATGGAACTGAACTCTCCACTCCAAATTTAAATCTACAAAAAGGGCAGATCAATTTGTTTTCCAGTATATGTTGCTGCAGGAACAAAAAAGTTAAAATAAGAGCACAGGTCTACAAACAGGACAAAAAATTCACTCCTTTAAGCCAGAAGGGTAAAGGATGGGAGGGTGAGAAAAATCTTTCTTAGAGAAAGACTGCAAGGAGATTTAAGACTGCCAACTGATCTACTCTGATGCAGTGTTTCAAAAAAAGTAGCAAAATAATTGTGTTTGCAATGCAGTGTCAAGTTTCCAAATGAGTTCCTTTGGATTTTTTCTTTCTCACACTTAGGGCAAAAAGGCTTTCCTCTGAAGTACTCAAAGTAAATTTGCTATCGATAAATAGTTCTGTACTTCTTCCTGTTTGTAACTGAACCATTACAGTCCTTCCGTAAGATGTAGAGCTTACATAGCTTAAGGTTACACAGCTACATTACACCTTCTATACAAGGTATCGCAAATACAGTGTTAAATTAAAAGTATTTTGACTGGAAAATAACTTCAAGGCAAAGACTCTGTTCATCAATGAGATGCAAAAGCAGTTTGGAATCTGACAGACCATGCCACCCCCCAACTCAGTGCTATCTGTAAATCAGTCCTTCTACCCCAGAAGACTTAAATTCAATTCCTGAGGTCAGTGCAGCAAAAAATAAGATGCTCTTGAAGATGGATGTCAGGACACCCTGTGATATCACTAACCAGATGTATGTATACATGAGCTACAAGCATATCATAGCAGGCATTGATAGATGAATGATTAAGGAGACTCTCCTAGTACCATATACAATTTAAAAAAAAAAAAAAAGTCACCCTAACAAGTATTGCACACTTTAGGAGTTAAGCCAAGCATTTGTAAGGACTTCCACCAAAAGCTTGCTTATAGGGCTAGGGATTGGGATGGGGACGCAGACTTTAAAATAATTATTACGTAATGATTTTAAAATCAGACTGGAGGAAGGTAAAAATCACAGTACCTATTTCAAACTGGTTGTAACAGAAGCCAAGTAGTTGACTCGTGTGTTGCTCAATTATTCTATAAAAGCACTTTGTTTTATTTAAACTTGGGATGTAGAGGTTTTTCTTCTTAAAGGATTTATCAACCCACCCAGAGCCTCTGTTCAGATAAGCCATTTGCTGTGGTTAAATAGGACAGTAAAATTTAGTAGCCTGTTTTGACTGCATACAATGCAGAAACAGAAGACACCAAGATAGGCTTTTGGGGCACAGTTAAAATTCCCAGTGTGCATAACAGTGAGGTATGCCTCCAGAAGCTGTTCTTTTTGTTTTGTTTTTTTTTCCTTTTAAAAATGAACCATAACATACCCATGCAATAATATTTCTGCAGCATTGCTAAATAAAACCAACTGCACCAAAAATTTACAGTGTGGCAGAATTTAAAAGTCAAAGAAATATATCATCTTATTCCAGCGAACTGGACTATGTTAATGTACAGAATTCAGTAAGGGGTCAGTCTTAAAAATCAACATTTTCACAAGAGCTTGAACACCACTGAGAAAGTGTCTAGGGGGAAAAAAATTATATAAAAGCACAATGCCTGCAAGAAGTGGCACGGCATTAAATGGGCAATGATGCTAGGCTGGTTGGGATGCTAGGGTTACGGTTAGGCTAGGCTGGTAGAGAGGCTAGGGTTATGAAAAGTACTCTACACTGGAGAAAATGCTTAAAAAAAATTACAAAATGACCCCCAAAGTTTAGGCAATGATTTGAACATAAGTACACCAGATACTATAGCAAGGGAAAAAACACTGCAAAAAGTACTCTCTATTTACAGAAGAATGATTTAAAGACATTATGGTTTTCTTTACAAATAGATGTAGAACAGGAATAGTCCACATTTTTAAAAATTCTTTACATATTTATCTTTAGTAAGTCAACCTTCTTGATCACGATCCTCCAACACATGGCCTGTGCAGAAGGCATTTAATGGACTCTCCATTAATTCTTCATTGTGTGGCCCTTGCTCTCTTGGAAAGTCTCTATGGGCACAAGTCAAAAATAGATTTCTTCTTTTGACCCGCAAATAAAAAAAAAAAATCCGCATAGTTCAGTCATCACTGTCAGACAGAGTCTCATATTGTGCTGAAAGCAGTGGTGCAGGCTCTCGCTCCCATATCCTGTTCTGTTGGTGAGTGGTTGCTTGGCTCATGGACGGTGGGGCACACGCAATGGATGTTGGCGGTGTACTGCTGAGCATCCTCATCGTCAACGGGTTGTAAGGAAACTGCGTTGAACCTGAATCAAAGAGAGTTTCTCCAAGTCAAAAACATGAGCTGTTCTAAGAGATCTGTATCTGAAAGATAGTCGGGTTTTTGTCGTGGCAACTAGCAGAAAATCTGTTTCAGAAAATCCTTATATGCTGTAATCTTTTGACCAATATACCAGTGTTATAGTATGTCTACCTCTGACCTTTCTACAAATACCACATCTGGTTTGTCAAGTTTGAAAGAAACCCATTTCTCACCTGTTGATGAAGGCCTGTCTTCCCAGGCCCACACTGGAGTCTGTCTGTGGTAGTCCCCTTCTGAATGTACAGATGAGACAGAAGAAGGTCTTTCGGTTCCCAAATACCCCTGTCCAGGAATCGGAGACTTAGACTTCCTACTATTTGACTTGCCGATTAGCTTCTGCTTGCCAACTCCCCCTCCTGGAAACAGAAGGGACAGATTTCACAAAAACGTTACACTGCATTTTAGCCTATGTTTGTTTCTGTAAATTAACACTTAGCAGCAAACAAGAGGTGCACACTGGTGCCTTCTGGCATGCTGATTTACTACAATTAGTGACCGTATAGGCTGGTCTTCTAGCACACTATTGCTAGAAAATCCCTATTCTTATCACAATGGAGTTATATTTCCATTTTTAGGAAGGGAGATGTTTTCATTTCAAGCTAGTTCCCACTGTCATGTCTTCTTTATAGGTGATGTACTACACATGCATTTTCATCAAAGCACTGAGAAGGTTCAGGTATCTAATACACCCTGTTATCTCTTCCCTGTTTCATCAGTGTTGTCATTCTCTAAGAAATACTGGCTAATGCTCCTGAAGTCACCAGCACCATTTTGAAAGCCAGGACCACTAGAGGGAATGGAAACACCATCTCTATGACTTCTAGAGGAAAGACCGTGATTTTTCAATGACACCAAATTTATTCAAACCCTTATTTTTTTCTTTAAGACCATGAAATATTTAGGAGCTGCAATACCTCACCTGAATTTGGTGATGGATTAGCTTCTTCCCTACGCGTCTCATTACTTGCCGATACTGCAGCACTGGA